GGGGGAAGCGTCGAGGCAGAAGGCGTCGGACGAACCAGATCACCGAGAAACATTGCTGGCACCGAGATTGGGGTGGCTGTGGCGGGGGCAGCTGCGTGGTGGCCAGGAGGCAGGCAGAAGGGTATTTCTCCAGAACCACCTGCCGCAGCCCCTGGACTCGGGGCCACAGGTGGCTGGTATGTGGGAAGCCAAAGCTGGGTGCAGACCTGCGCTTCCCCTCTCGGGACTGCGCTGACGCTCGCAGTTCACCTACCCTTGAACCAAAAGCCAAACCCAGCACCCGCCCGCAGAGCCTCTGGTGGGGGCTGCGGCGGGGGCGGGGGCGGGGGGAGTGAGGCGGGGGCGGGGGTGGGGGCGCCGCGGGGGGGCAGGAGAGGAGGCCGGGGGTGTGCGCTCCGCGGGGTTTCAGCAAAGCACGCAGTGCCCTGCGCTCCGCAGTCACATGCACGCTCTCGACACGCGCAGGACGCTCGTGCCCAGCCCGCGCAAGCCCGCGCTGGTGCGCACTGGCGCGCACCCTTCTGAGTGACGCAGCATTCGAGGGGGGGCGGTGAATACGAGTCTGCGACCCGCGGATCTGCAGCCGGGCTTCTGTAGTGTTTTCAGCTGAGGGCCCTTGTCCCGCCTCTTCATCGGTGCGTCGGTCCAGCAGCACAGCCTCACCGCCCCATCCCGTGCCCCCTCCCCAAACGTCGGAGAGGAGCATGCACCGCCCCGACCCAGGAGCCCACAGCGGGTGGGGAGCAGTCGACCCGCTGGAGAAGACACAATTACATCGCAGGGTGGAGGGAGGGGGGGCCAGTGGGAGGAATAGGAGTGACCCCCCCCCAGTCCACAGAGTTCTGTGTCTGTCGTGTGAATGAGCCCAGCCAGCTTCCCCAGAGGGTCCCCATGACTCAGCGAGGGAAACGAATGTTCGGGGGAGGGAGTCCCACATGTAGCCCAGCCCCTTCCCCAGCATTCTGCCTGGGGCATGAGGCCTGGAACCAGGAGCGGAGAGTCCAGAAGGCCCCAAATAATCTCTTTTCCTTCACGAAGATGTGTCATCCCCGGCTCCGTTTCCATGGAAACCCACGATGACGCAACATGGACGTCAAGCCATGTCGGAGGAGTTGGAGCTTAGGTTTGGCTCCTAGAGGACCCCAGAGGCGGAGCTCCTTGTAGGGAGACTGGGCAGACCCCGGCCCAGCCTTCCAGCGGGCGTGGCCAGCAACCCGAGATTGGCAGGGCTGCGGGGCTGCGGGGCGGCCACAAGATCTTCCCCTCCGCACTCTCCTCTGCAAACCATAGGCTGGATTTGTGAGCCACTGGGGCACTGGGGCCAGAAGGCCTCCAGCCTCCTCCCCGCCCCCGCAATGCCACACCCCTCCCGCCCCTGCGAAGCTCCCCTCAAGCCCTGGGCACTTGCTGCCCCCCCTCCCCCGCCCCTCCCCTACAGTCCCCTGTCGGTCCTTCCCTCCGTGACACTTTCCCAGCACTCCTGAGCCGTTTTCTTCCTCGCGCTGCAAAGCCCGACCTCTTTATATTTATATTCCGGTGGTTCCTTGTCCATCTCTGCCTCACAGAGAGCGGACGTCGTCTGCATGGTCCGCCTGAAGAATAACCCATTGCGCGCCTGTCTGGGGCAGGTGCGGACTTGTCCGTGAGTCCTCCCCAGGCTGCTCCCCTGCCAAGCCCGACTCTCCTCAGGAAAAGCCCTCCAGCCAGGGAGTGGGAGTTGGGGACGCTTCGCTGACCTGAAAGGGCCCTGGGCCAGGCGCGTAAATCCAAGGAAGGGCCCCAGGTCAGGGCCCTAATGGGACCTCCCTCCCTGGAGCGCCGGGGAAGTCCACGATGGGGGTGCCCCTCTCTTGCCTAGCTGGCTGCTTCTTGCCTGCCCCACAGTGCCGCTCCTGGCCACCCCTCCCCTTTGTCCTACACAGCCCTGACCTCCCTGCCCAGCACCTTGCATACTCTCCATCCTGGGCATCTCTCTGCCTCTGGGTGGGAGCTCCTCCTCTGCATTCCCACCCTGCCTCACCCTGGCCTCTGGGGTGTGAGAGACTGGGTCACCTATGGGCCTGGTAGGCACCTGCGCTGGTGGGGCTGCTAGAGTGAGAGGCGTTTGGGGATGGCGAAGTCCCCTAGGGCAGAAGTTTGGGGATTCAGAGGCACAGCGGCCTTTGTAGGGTGTGTGCAGGCAGTGGCCAGGGAGGGAAGCACAGCCCCTGGGGCTCAGCCCTTTGGTCCTCACAAGGAAGGGAGTCGAGGGACAGCCAAGACACTGCGACCAAGGGGCTCACCTTCTCTGATCAGGGTCCAAATCCTGGGGGAGGGCATGGGGTAGCTGTACCTCTGCCACCAGCTTGCTGTCCTTTGGTTGTTGGTTTCGTTTATTTTGAACTCTTTTTGTTGTGAAATATAATGAATATTGAGAAGAGGACATAAAACAAACATGTGGTTTAGTGACTTAAGGTAAGTGCTCCCCGGTCATGCACCATCCAAGTGAAGCCTAGAAATCCCCACCTGTCCCTGAAGCCGCTCCCCTCCCCCAAAGGCACAGCCACCCAGACTCTCCAGACACAGGAGCAGTTAATTGGTCTGGACCCCTGGAGTGCGTGTCCCTAATTGCCCGAGATTGGTTCCTAAAGGTTATGGTTAGAGTTGGCTTGTTCTTGAACCTGCCTTTGTGCCTGGCTGCTTTTGGCCAGCCTCATTTTGTGGGATTCCAGGCTGTGCTTGCTGTGACCCTTCACTTGCTAGGAATGCCTCCGTTGATTGACTTGTTTTACTCTGGGTGATGCGTGGTGCTGTGTACTTCTGTGGGAATAGCACTGCTTTCCAAGTTCATGCACCCCGTCTCTTTGCTGGGTGTGCACCCTGGAATGAGGACTGGTCAAGGTTCGACATGTGTGGATTCTGTGAGTTGACACCACCTGTGTGGCATCTTTTGTGCCTTGAGCTCTCCTGGGTTTGGATGGGCTTCAGTATATCTCTTTAAGCTGGTTCTAATTGGTCTCCCTCTGGACTAATGAGGGTGAGCACCTTTTTAGTACTCATGGCTGTTTGAAATCCTTCTCTGTCCATTTTTTTATTGGGTTTATCTATCTTTTTCTTTATCAACTTGAGCTGTTCTTTACATACTTTAGATATCTGCCCTGTATTGGCTTCCTTGGGCAGCTGTGACAAATTACCACAACTGGCTAGCTTAAAACAACAGACATTTATTCTTTCACAGGCTTATGGAGGCAAGAAGCTGGAAATCAAGAACTGGGAAGGGCTGTGCTCCCTTTGAGGCTCTAGGGAAGGATCCTTCCTGCCTCTCCCAGCTTCTGGCGACACCAGGTGTCCCTTCTCTCGTGAATGCATCCTTCCAGCCTCTGCCTCCATGTTGACATGACCACCTCCCTGTGTGTGTCCAGATTTCCCCCTTCTACAAGAACACCAGTCATTGGGTTAGGGCCCCTGTAATCCAGTGTGACGTCACCTTCACTTGATCACATCTCCAAAGACCCTATTTCCTAGTAAGGTTACACGCACAGGTAGCAGGGGTTAGGACCTGAACATTTCTTGTTGACGAACCCACAAGTCCTTTGCATGTTGCAAATATCTTCTCCGGTCTTGCTTTCTGTTTCCGTTCTTTGAAGGCTATGTTTTGATAAGCGGGAGTTCTTAATTTTAATGTATTCCTTTTATGGTTAGTACTTATTTCTCATATTGAGGAACTCTTTCCCTCCCCCAGACCAGGAAAATATTCTCCTGTATTATTTTCAAGATGCTTTCCTAACTTAGGTGTATCCACCTGGAGTAGATTTCTATGTGTGATGGGAGGTAGGGATCAGGTCCCTGTTTTCCGTGTGGACATCTGTTTATCAAAAGGTGGCCATGCCGCCTGCTTTGCATGGCATCTCTGTCGCAAATCCGTGGTCCCTGTGTGTGGGGTGTGTCACACGGAGCTTTGTGCACCACACGTCAGTACCACACGGCTGTGTAAGCTGGGTGCCTGGCGGATGAATACCCCCTTGTTCTCCAAGATGTCACATGTGTTCTTGTTCCTTTCCTTTTTGTATAAAATTACAATGCTTGGCAAGTTCACACACAAAAAAATTCTTTTGGGCTGTTGATTGGTATTTATTGATTCTACAGATACATTTTGGGGGGAAATGACATTTTTAAATGTGGAACCTTCCAAAATCCATGACCGTTTTGTTCCCCACTTGTTAAGGCAGTTAGGTCTCCTTTTGTCTTAGTCAATGTTTTGCCTGAGGTCTTCCATGATTTTCCATATGGAATTTCTTTCCATTTCTCTGAAGTCTGTTCCTGAGCATTTGGTATTTCCAATACCGTTTAAATGGAGTCTTTCAAAAACTTATTTTCTAATTTTTTGTCACTGATACATAGAAATATAATGACTCCTAAAAGCCTTGGATGGACCCTGCTGGACTCACTCTTCAAGCTTTGTAATGGATCCACAGATTCACGTGGATTTTCTACACACACAATGTTCGATCCATGAACAGTCAGAGTATTACCTGATCTCGTCCAGGCCTGTTATCTCTTATCCAGTTTTCCTGCCCTACAGCTTGGCTCAGACATCCAGCACCATGATTTATAGAACTGATAATAAAAGGCCTTTTTATCTCCTTCCTCATCTAAAAGGCAAAGCTTTCACTGTTTACATTCAATAAGGATTGCTGTAGGGATTTTTGTGGACGGCCTTTATCAATCAGATTAAGGAAGTTTCCTTCTGCCCCTAGAGTGCTAATAGACTTTTAAAATAATAAACAGATGTTGAATCTTGTCAAATACTTTTCCAGATATTATTTAAATTGATCAGATGATTTTTTAAAAAGATTTTATTTATGTATTTACTTATTTTAGGGGAAGGGGGGAGGGACGGGGGAGAAAGAGAATCTGGGAGTCCCCACTGAGCACAGAGCCAGATCCAGGTCTCGGTCCCAGGACCTTGAGATCATGACCTGAGCCGAAATCAAGAGTCTGACACTTACCCAACTGAGGCACCCAGGTGCCCTGGGGTCATTTTCTTTAAGCACAATAGCTGCCCTTAGAATGTGCCCTAGAGCAGGCTGGCTAATGGCACACTCTGCCAGTGTTGTGTGTCTGGGCAGTCACTGGTCAGACACACCACCCTGTCCATGGCTTTGGGACCCACGGGGAGACCAGAGGGCAGGAAGGGACTAGAGGCCTGTGGCTGAACAGGCCCAGTTTGTCCTGAGAGGCTGGCCTGTCCGTGCATGGCCTGCCCTGGCTCTGGCATGAGGAACACTGGGGCCAGCCTGGGGCCCTCTCGCTCCCTCATAAGCTGGCACGGACATCTGCTAGGTGGTGAGTGGGCAGTAACCTGTGTCTACACCTCTGCACAGGACAAGGACCACCGTGCACCATGGTGAAGCTGGGTTGCAGCTTCTCTGGGAAGCCGGGCAAAGACCCTGGGCACCAGGACGGGGCTACCACGGACAGCGTCCCTCTGATCAGTCCCCTGGACGTCAGCCAGCTCCAGCCACCATTCCCTGACCAGGTGAGGGCCTCGGTCAGCGGGAAGGGCCGCCAGCAGGGGCTCAGCAAGCAAAAATGCCCACCCTGCCCTGTGGGCCCAAGACAGGGTCTTTGGGCAACGACTGAGGGAGAGCCTTTTTCTGGAGGAATCTGTAGGAAGCAGAACTCAGCTCTGGTGTAGTCCTGCCTGACCCCAGCTGAGCTCTGGAGCATGGCTGGCATCAGAAGTTGTCCCAGCAGGAGGGGAGGGGGCAGCCATCTGTACCCATGTCAGTCAACTTTTGGCCAAGGGCAGTTCTCCGGGGATCTGGGGGGGCTTCAGTGGTGTCTACTATAGTTCTGGACCTTGTACTCAACAGACAGGTGGGAAGGCTCAGTGCTTGCCCCTTGGGAGCACTCACAGAGCACAGGACTGTACTTGCCTGCACCGCATGTGGTAGGGGCCTCAAGACTCTGGGAGCCAGAGGAGAAGTCAGGGTGGACTTCTTGGAGGAGGGAGCCAAGATGTGGAACAGCTACAGGGGAAGCTCCTGGCAAGGAGAGCTGACACCCTTAGAATTGAAGGCAGCCCTCAGACTGAGGGCCTCCATCTGTGGTGTGGCCAGGCCCCAGGGCTGCCATGGCCCAGCAGGCATCCAGCATCCACCTTCCCTTAGCCTTGGCTCGTAACCAATGGAGCCTAGCCACTAGACAGTCCTGGCAGCTGGTCAGCACCCACACCATTGCTGGGCAGCTGACCCCTGGACCCCTCACAGTCCTCCCAGTTCAGGGTCCTCCAGGTCCTCTCTTTCCACAGGTGGTTATCAAGACACAGACGGAATACCAGCTGTCCTCCCCGGACCAGCCAAAGAAGTTCCCCGACCTGGAGGCCCAGAAGCTGGCCTGTAACCACCCAGAGGAAGGGCGCAGGGTAACCCAACCCTCCCAGTCCCATGCTGCCCAGGGGTCGATTCCAGGGGGGGTTCAGGGCAGAGGAGATGGTGAGCAGGCAGCTGTAGGCATGGGTACCCATGCTCTGAGCCAGGTTGGCTGGGGTCCCCTTGCTCTCTCGGCTGCTCTCACCCCATTCAGAGGCCTTCGCCAGAAGCACTCCCCCGGCAGAGGCCAGTGAGCCCCTGACCCCTGCCCTGCCCTTGCCGCGGCTTCACAGCCCCCTCCACGGGGTCCCTCTCCTTTTCACCCGCCCCTGCAGCTGCCCACCGCACGGATGATCGCCTTTGCCATGGCGCTCCTGGGCTGCGTCCTAATCATGTACAAGGCCATCTGGTACGACCAGTTCACTTGCCCCGACGGCTTCCTGCTTCGGGTAAGGCCTGGCGAGCTGCAGAACGGGGTGGGGCGTGGGGCCGTCCAGGCCTTCCCGTGCTCCGATGCCGCTGGGCAGAGTGCCAGGGAGGGTCCCACGGAGGGGTCCGCGTGGAAGCGTGGGAGGCGGGCTGCCTCGGGTCCCGCCCTCTGCCCTCCTACCCCGCCCCTGACCCGCCCCCTCCCGCAGCACAAGATCTGCACCCCGCTGACCCTGGAGATGTACTACACCGAGATGGACCCCGAGCGCCACCGCAGCATCCTGGCCGCCATCGGGGCCTACCCGCTGAGCCGCAAGCACGGCACGGAGACACCCTCGGCCTGGGGGGGGAGCTACCGCGCAGTCAAGGAGGGGCCCAAGGCGCCCACCCAGGCGGGCGCGGCGGGGGCGGCGGCGGCGGCGGCGGGGGCGGCGGCCACCGAGCCCCCCGGCAAGACCTCCGCGCTGGGAGAGAAAGAGGCAGCGCGGAAGGCGGCAGGCAGCGTCCCGCCCCCGGCCCCCCAGTGAGGCCTCCGCACCCGCAGCCCGGGTAGGTGTGCTTGGGGGGAGGGGCGGGGAGGAGGGGACGGGGGCGGGGTCACGGGACCTGGAAGCGGAGGTCCCGTGCGGGGCTCAGCCATGCACTTCTTCCCACGCAGGTGGGCGGTGGGGGGTCGTGTACCCTCCTCGCAGCGCCCGCTCTCGCCCCTCCTCCCCTCTGTCTCGGCAGCGGCCCGCGCCGGCACCTGTGACAGCCCTCGCCCGACGCTCTCACATCCTGTGGTCGTGCCCCTGCTTCCAGGACCCCTTGCTGATGCCCCCTGCCCCCTGACCTTCTAGCTCTGTTGCTTTTCTCTAAGTAAAGATTCACATCCACCTGGGTTTCTTGTTTCTCCTGAGCATCCTCCGTCCCCCTGGCCTCTTTCCTGCCTTCCCAACCCCCCGCGTGGGTGAGCACTGGCATCATGCCAACCCCCTACTGCCCAGAGGGACCCCGAAGGATCCTGAAGAGCGGCGGTAGAGGGGCAGTGAGCCGCCCTGGCAAGCCGCGGTTCACGGACAGGGACAAGGCCAGGGCCACTGTGCTAGCCGCCCTGGGTGTCAGGGCACAGCGCGGACAGGGCTTTGTCTGGTCCATTGCTCGGCTGACTGCAAAGAAATAAGCACACCTCTGCTCAGGGGAGCCTCTAGGACCTGGGCTCCATCCCTGACTACCCCCTACCCTACATCCAGCAAAGCTGCTCCATCCCCAGCTGCCGTTCCTGGTCCCCACACAACTACCCCATTTGACGGGAGCATCTGAATTCCCCTGTTCTGGGCAAGCACCCACATGTGGTTCCTGCCCTCAGCTGGCTGCCCACAGGTGTGAGTCACTGAAGAAATGAGCGAATGCATGGATCCACCAGGCCCTGGGCCACAGGAGAGGGGATGTGAGCCTATCCCTGGGGCATGAAAGGGCTCCCTGCTCCCAGAGCACCCCATCTCCCATTCCCTTGGAGCTAGAGGGGAGGTGGGAGGTCTGAGGATGTTGGAGTTGGCAAGAGTCTTTTTACCCAGCCCACAGCATGGCCCACCTTCCCCTCTGCTTCAGCACTGGGAAGCCCAGGTCTGCTCCCGCCTGGCTAGGCCTGACCATGGCCCCCACTCCAGCACATATCCTCCTCTGAGAGCTTTGATCCTAAGCCCAGACACCCCACCTGGTGAGAGGTGAACTAAGGTCCTAGCACTGACAGCTGGGTTGGGAGGTAGGGATGACAGCCTTGGGAGCTCATGCAACAGAAACAGGAAAGAGGCATTTTCAGTGTCGGGTGACATGGGTCAGAGTCCCGGGGGGACCCCCTTGGCCCTAGTGCAGTCATGTGGGGGGACACAGGGCCAGGCGCTCAGACAATATGGGACTATCCAGCCTCCAGGCCAGGGAGGCAAGGTGGGGGGGAGGTTCTGAGCAACTTTGGAACAGGGGGCAGTGACCAGGAAGTGGGCGAGACAGGGGTTCGAAGGGTTCCAGAGACACCATGGACACACTGGAGGCCAGGTGGCGGGAGTGGGGGTGGGCAGGCCGGGGCTGGGCTGTGAGTACTGTGTCCATCATCACTGAACTCTTATCTGTCCAGCCAGCCCTCCATCCATCCGCTCATCTGCCAGTCATGACCTGTCGTCTGTCCTGTCTTTCTCTAGCAGGTACCTGGCTAACGTGTTTCTGAACCTTGGAGAGGAAGTTGCCTCTTTACCCTTAAATACCTCAGTGTGGATTTCCTAAGAAGGGCATGTGCTTATTTCATGCAATGATCAAAATCAGGAATTTAACTTCAAAACAATACTCTTATTTAATCTATGTACCTTATTAGTATTTTCCCAATTGTCTCAATAATGTCCTTTGTAGAAAAAAAAATCTGGCCTGAGATACGGTCCAGGTGCCTGGCCACATCCTCCTTACCCATTTCTCACCTGGGGCAGCTCAGTCTGTCTGTCATGACCTTGACAGTTCTGAAGCATGCAGGCCAGGTGATCTGTAGACTGGCCTCAGCTCGCACGCGTGAGGTGTGTTGTCATGATCAGCTGGAGGATGCATTCCCAGGAGTGATGCTGTGTTCCCCTCAGTGTCACGTCAGGAGCCACGTGAGGTCTGGTTGTCCACCCCTGAGGTTAACTTAGATCACTCGGCTAAGGTGGCTTTGATGAGTTTTGCCCTGTGACCTTACCATTTGCCTTTTGTAAATTAATACACGTTTTGTGGGAAGATACTCTGAGAGTATATAAATATCTTGGTCCTCACCAATCTCTCCCTCATTTTAGCATTCATTGACCATTCTTGTCTGAATCAATAATACTGTATTTTCCAAGTGGTGGTTGTCTAAATTCAGCATTTTTTCTACACCTAATTGGTTGACATTCTATTAGTTTACCATAAAGAAAAGCTCTCCCTCCTCCCCTTTCTGGGGGATTGGCTGTTGTCCCTACCCCCCAATCATTTATTTACTCATTTATTTACATCAGTGTGACACATGGATTCCCATTTTATTCAATAGGCTAAAATCCATTGCTATCAGTATTTATTTTTGTGTTTACATTGTTTCATATCTGGCTCGTGGAAGTCATTCTCTGGGCATGTGTCCATCAGTCTCTGGGCACTTCCTAACTTTCTTGCACAAAGATGCTCCAGGCTTGACTTGTGCCACTGGGATCTGGGTGCTGGTTGTGGGTGTTGCTTCAGGCACTCTGGGTACGTAGAGCTGGGGGTGTGATATATAATATAGGCATTCTGTAACTCGATAGCATGACTTACAGAACTCAGGAAAGCACTTACTAGATTACTAGTTTATTAGTAAGTATACAACTCAGGGACAGCCGGATGGAAGAGAGGTACAGGCCAGGTGTGGGCACAGGAGCATCGAACCTCCTTGCACCTGAGTGTTCGATCAGGAAGCCCTCCGAATCTCCTTGCTCAAGAGTTCCTATAACCCGTGTTCACCCCCCCTCGCACAGGTCAGGGGTGGGGCTGAAAGCCGCCCCCCAAGCAGCTTCTACTCCACCCTGCCCTATCTCATCAGCATAAACTCCGATGTGGCTGAGTATCAAAAGGTTCTCTGTAACTCGGGAAATCCCAAGGGTTTTAGGAGCTCTGCCCCAGGAGCCGGGGACAAAGGCCAAATACATTTTTTACTGCAGCACATTCACTTAACACACACAGAAAATCACCGTGCACGGTGTGAACGCACTCTCCTTCTTCACCGTCACCGACGCACAGCACCCACTGACAGGGGCTGTTTGGGTGGTTTACAATATTTTGCAGTACAATGCTGCAATGAATAATTTATGCATATGTGCTTTGTATTGTTGGAGATTTAGCTTCAGGGCAAATTCCCAGGAGTGGTCTTGCTGAGTTAAAATGTTTTAATTTATAAAATGTTATCATTTACAATTATAAATTTAAACCAGGGTCAGGGAGCAAGAATTCCTGACCTCTCAAAGGTCCTAGCTTGAGTAAGAATCAGATTGACATGAGACAGATGAGCAGGAGAAAAGTGAACGTAATGGCGTCCGTCCGTAAGGGGGAATCCATGCTGGCGTGGAAATTCTAAAGTCAGGCAAATGTGAAATCCATTTGTCATCCTGCAGAAGGGGGTGGGGGTCTGGGACTTCAGAGGAAAGGGACGCACTTCACAGGGTGATAAGAAGAGCAAATGCTTGCCCTGCCATACAGATGGGTCACTCAGATGAAATTGATCTGTTAATCACCCTTATCCTGGGAAAGATCCCCAGTTTAGGTTCTTCTGTGTCGTTAAGAGGGGGGCAAAAGTTTCTCTTGAGCCTGCAGGGTCTCAGGTGTCTTCAGCTCACAATAATCCGTATGCCAACATGGCACATTCTGGGGAGGTCTGTCCTGAACCTCTCCACCAGCTTCCCCAAGCTTTAGAGCTCCATTTAGAAGCTTACTTATGAATCTAGTCACTTTTCCGTGAGTGTGTCTTCACTTACTCTGTAATTAATATTCTATTAACTTAAGCATTTGATATATTCAGTCTCTAATTTTTTAAAAGACATTTCACAAACACGATGAACTCGATTAATTAGATGTCCTAGGTATTTCAAGCTCTAACCATTCTAAGCATTTTGAACATCATGCAGACCTACAAACCTACCTAACAAAACCTCTATAAGCATTTGTATGCTACTCCATGTTGAACACAACCAAGTCAGAGTCAGTCAGATCTTAAACTGAAATTTGCTCACACATCTAACACTAAAAGCCAAGGTTATTGAGATAAAATTTAAACCTTCAAACTACAACAAGTTGCTTATGCTCCATCAGCAGGAGACAGTATGACTTCATGGTGTACCCAGGGCTTGGGGCAGACCTAACCTGGGCTGCAGGAGCAAGCTCCCCGAAGGGCCATGTGCCAGGCGCCCTGCTGTTGGCCGGCTCCCTTTTCCAGGGTCCCACACATCCTCTGAGTGTCCTTTAAATTTTGTTCTCACCCAAATTTTACAGAAACTGCTTGCAAAAACTCTTTCACAAGCCAGACGCCCTGGAGTGGAACCCCATATTGTTGATAGTGTCAGATAAAATGTCCGAAAGTTAAAACAATTCTTACACAAACATAGACTGTGTCCCAACTTCACAGGCTTCCTGATGCGGGATCCCACAGGATGGTGAGATTCGGGGACAATGTGAGAAACTTTGTGCTCAGGCGGAGAAGAAATCCTAGACCCTCCGTTCCAGGTCAAACCAGGCAGAGTCACACACAGGACATCATGGTCTTTGGGGCCGGCCATCCTTCTACTGGACATGCCGCGTGCACCACGTGGGTCCTTTGTGAGTTAACCCTGAGTTCAGGGACGGGGCAGACCTAAGTAAGCAGATGCACAGTCCGCTCTGCTTCCTCAGGTTGCCCATCTCAGTGTGATCGACGCATGAGGGGATAATTTAGGTAGGACCTGAGTTTTGTTTGGTTGGGTGAGGTTTCCACCGTGGAACTACCAAGCAAACACAGAGCGCTGCACCCTTTTGGGGAGGATATACACGC